AAGGAACAGGAAGTTGACTAACAAGCTTTAAGATAATTCAAACAATTAGCTTTGCTTCTAATCCACTATCAGTTCTTGCACTCCCAAGAACAATTCACAAATAACTTTCACTGTTAAGCACCAGATTTTTGCTCAAATTTCGGATAAATTTGTTGCACTTCACTCCAAGATGTCCTCTCGGATGATAAATCAGCAACCGTTTTCCCAACATCACTCACCTGAAATATAACAATTTCTGTATTAACCCGAAATAATTTTCAAATATGATTTACTTGGAAATATGTAAAGCAAAAAAACATATAAAAGCCAAATTGCATAATATTTATCATTTCCTCCACAAATTGTAATAAAAATTATAATAATATCGGAATTAAAAATCGAAATCATCCAAACCTTTAGTCGAACCTGCTCCATTGTGATTGAGAAGCGCAAAGTTACAGTCCATGGTTCTGATTCCGATTCAAAATCAACCGTTATGCCAAATGGGATGCCTATAGCATCCGTTCTAGCATAACGTCGACCAAGTGATCCACTGCTATCATCCTTAATAATATCATTCTTAAGACATTCAAGAAGTGATTTAGTAATATGTTAGTTGATTTTTAAATCTGCTTTTAAATCATAATATTCGTGAAAATTCTTACTTGTTTATAGCTCACAGAAAATTTGGCTAACTCTGAGCGTACAGCAGCCATAATTGGCTCAAAGCGCGAATTTGCTGAGATTGGCAGTATAGAGCATTTGATCGGAGCAACAACTGGCCGCAGTGCAAAATACTGGAAGAAAATTAATGAAATTTTTAACCTGCGAAAGAAATTTACCTTGTAAACATCGAAGACGTATAAGGTAATCTTATTCTAAAAAGTTAAAAATCATACCACTCTTTGTTCATCACCCTCCCTTTGACGGAAAGAATGCTCCAAGACGCTATACATGATCCTTCCAATACCAAATGATGGTTCAATTACCGATGGGAAGAATTCTTCGGTATGCATCTAAAATATTTAGAAATATTATGATTAATGATAAATTCAAATCCTTTCACCCTTCATCCTTTGCACCCAGCAATTTCTTGTACGGAATTGTATTATAAAGCCAAGAGAGTAACGGACGACTCAAGATTTTTTAAGGCTTATAAGGCAGATATCTGCAAAGAAACATGTGAACACTCTTAAATGATAATGTTCCCATTCTTGAAAAGTGCAAGTGGAGAAATTACTATTTATAAATGTGGATATATAACCTTTTTTTCATATCTTTTAATGGAGATGTAATCTTTTTGCAATTCCACTATTTTATCTCCGCATTGAATTCTCGCATTTCTGCAATTAAATCTGATGAACACAAGATTTTAGATAAAAATTTCACTACAAACAGTTTAGCGCGATAATTACCGTAATGGAAAGCAGACTGCAATGTATAGGATCTAGTGAACTGGACATAATCAGAAATTACTGATTACTAAGTGGTAAACCAGCTAAAAAAAGTTTGTAACAATAAATTACCCCGCAGAAATAATCTCTTTTTCTAGCTTCTCAACCTCTTCTGGGGTGAGCTGTTCAAGTCGAGCAAAGATCTGAAAGTCTAATAAATGTAGATCGTTTGTTAGATGTAAAAACATGCTATGTGTTTAATCATCCCAACTATCTATACTTTTCTTCAAATTTTTTGTTTTATATAAAAGACAAGAAAAATTAGGGATTTTAAGACATATGCAATAACAATAATATGCAGTAACTATTGAGAAAGAAAAATTCTAGCACTTCAGCTTTCACAAAATCAGTGACATTAAGAAAGGAGAATGAAATTTTATCATCTAATAAAGACCACTCCAAGAAATCAATAGTTACCTGCTTCGCTTCCGTTTTGTAAATTTTTCCAATCACTGGCTTATTGGGTATTGCTTCGATAACCTGCACAATTTTTGGTTCGCTGAGCACTTTCTCAGCTACCAGCTTCTCTCCAGTAGCTTTCGAATGTTGCAGTAAATCATAGCATGCACGATCAGCCACTCCTACACATTCAATCCATCCATACGATGTCAAAATTTCAGCATCCCAACAATCCTGTAGAGGAATTATTTAGAAATGCTACTTTTCACCAATAAGCCAAATAACTTATAAATCTATTCTTTTCACTAATAAGCCAAATAACTCATGAATCTATTAACCTTAGCTTCCAATCTTATATTCCAAAGAGGGAACTTACGCCTTTACTCAATAACTAATGGATTACATCACATTAGTGATGACTTATTTCCTGCATGTGACAGTTATCGCGAATATCAAAACATAACCCAATCACATACCTAGGTATACTGATATGAGGTGAAGAAACTACACAATCATCAAAACACGACTCATACTGTGAATATGGACATATATTTTACAGCAGATATAAATAAATGAACTAACACAGGCGTAATGAGCCATTTCATTTGTCAAATGCTGCCTAAATCGCATTCTCTTTGGGTCTATTCCAGTCCGTATCAGATATTTATGAACTCGAACCATGTAGTAGCCAAGAGTTTCGTTTGCAACCAACTTCTATAAACTTATTATTTTGAAAACATCTGTACAATCAGCTTCAGTTAGATCACTTCTTTCCTTTATATTGGTAATTAAACAGTTCAAGGAAATGTATGCGATTACTGCTACCAATTAATTAAATACAACTTTTTCCTTAGAGTAATGTAGATATTACTGAAATCGAATTATACCTTAGCAACAGCATCCCCAATTGACAATGTCTGCGCTGGTGCACCATCCATTTGATTACAACCCGAGAACAACATCAGATTATAATCCTTTACTTGCTCAAATTTTGGATGAGTTTTATTATTCGGATCAACAAAATGTTCAATTTCACACATCGTAAATTCACGCAACCTCATCAGACCTTGTCTCGGAGAAATCTCGTTTCGAAAACCGGAACCAATCTGGGCCGCAGCAAACGGTAGCTTACCCTTTAAAATAAAAATTATAAAAAGGTAATCTAGTGTTAATAGTTAAAAAAGTACTCATGCAGAGATAAGATATATTGTAAACTAATAAGTGCATTGTAAACTAAGATAAGGTACATTCTCATTTCATGATTTTTTGAAATGATGAAATGAGAAAGGAAACAACAAAAAGGCTAACCAAACCAACTTCACTTTGGAATGTAAACAATTAAATCTAAGGAATTACAAACCTGATTAAATTCTAACAACCGTTTGAAATTAACAAAGATGCCTTGCGCTGTTTCTGGTCGTAAGTAAGCTCTGAAATCACCCGTTGGTCCTATCATTGTTGGAAACATCAAATTGAAAGCAATCGGCTCAGACAGTTCATTCCCTGTCATTGGAGATTTGATATTATGCTAAAAAATATAGTCCTTTTAATCTTACACAATAAAGAAATATCAATTATAACATAGGAGAAGTAACAACAATCTTATACCTTCATGATGACATTGTGCATATCTGCATCGTTGAAACCTTCCAATTTCGTCATGACTTCCTTTAGTTCCTCTTTCACACTTGCTGGTGTCTTTATATCCTGGATGATTTTTAAAACAATAGTTTAAAAATTCAATGAAATGAGATCGGTTTCTTTAACGAATCCAAAAAAGCATGCAATCAAAATATCAACTTCCACCTCGCACATTTTCTCAACAAAATTCTTGATCAGATGGTCAGCTCGAAAGCATTCACCAGTTTTCAGATCTTTCACCATCCAGTCCGAAAATCGATCAACATGTCCCGATGCTCTATAATGTTTGATAACAGAAAGATATCGGAGAATAGTGAATGCCAGTTAGATAAAATATTAAAATCAGAACCAGAAATACAACAAAAACAAAGAAGTGTCATGGAATAAACAAAATCACCAAATACAATGATTAATCACTCGATAACTTGAAATACAAATAAAATAAATCTTACTTTAGGACAGCTTCAGGAGTCAACACTGAACAATCCACCTCAAGCATATTTTCTTCAAGAACAAAATGATTTCTCCAAAGATTAATCATATTCGCTTTCATAGCACATCCCATCGGACCAAAATCATATAATCCAGTTACACCTAAATGTACAATTTTACTAAGATAGGATGGAAGTATAAATGTAAAGTGATAAATATCTTAGAATCAATCTATCCTTAGATGACTAATGATTACAAGTGAGAGAATGAACCATAAAATACCTCCATAGATAGCAAATGATTGATCATAAAAGAAGCGCTGCTTCAATAGATCTTCAAATTTCAATCGATCAAAAAACGAAACATTTTTGGGCACCAAAGCAAGTTCACGTTCTTCTAGTTTTTTCTTTCGAGCTTTCAGCTCAACAACTGCTCGGTCAATATCCGTTTTCGGAGCATCTTTTTCTTTGAGACAACGTATCAAATCACCAAACTCTTTCACAGCTGCACGAAGTGGTGCAAGTTCCTAAAATGGAATATGGAATGGTAGGATCAACACAACTACTGAATAGCTCCACCGGTCCCTCATTTCCTCATTCCTCAACCTAACAATTGAATGTTACAGATCAGCCCTACGTGACACTATTTCCTTTATTTGATCAATTTTGCCCTTCGTATTTTTATACTAATAACTGACATTACCTTTTCAAGTTCAGGTGAGGCCATATTATACAAATATGTTGATATGCGTTCGCGATTTTTCTTCCCGAAATGACCTTCACGTTTTAATCGATGACCTGATTTCTTATCGAAACCACTTTCTATCTGTCAAAAAGTTTCGTCCACATATGTATATGTATATGGAAGATACATTTCACGTAACCGCTAGCAATAACGCACGCTATAACGCAAGTTCGGTAATTTACATGCTGTAAGATCCCCCTTTCCCATCTTAATCATGCAATTACACCTATCTTCCCTTACCATTTCAACTTATACCTTCTTCCTTGCATTAAATAAATCAATTAGGTTATCGTCAAGCAACAGTCCCAAGAGATTTAATCATTTTAAAATTTACCCAACACTAATTAACCTCCATCCTCAACTTCATTTCCATTTTTTCAAGCGTCAGTATAAAACAATATCTCTGAAATCACCTGACTGTATTGATGAGAACTGTAAAGAGTGCGTGCCAGCGATATTATATCCCGACCAATCAACGTTTCACGATAATGAAGAAGACGAAACCAAAACCAACTATTCATCGAATTAACCAAGTCACTGTAGTTCACGTCGCTCACCTTTTCCCGTTATCTTTAAAAACACTGGTAACATAGTTTGTAACCTTTGAAACAATTCAAGGTAATGATTGGACTGGGAGGTTCATGTTCAAGCTTAAGGTCATTAGTTAGACTCGAGCAGTCTCGATATTACTGCCTACATCTTTGAGTTCAACTATATTTCTTAGCTTTTTTTAGCATCTCCGTGTGATTTGCTCTACGTTATATTTCCTCTTTCGCCTGTCTGTCTGTAGCTAAATAGTGTAGCGAACTGTTTTATGAAAATTAAACGAATGGTTCGATCGTGATCCGTGAGGTGGGAGTTCCCGAATTGCTAGAGAGCGATTGAAATATTTTTCGTCAAGGGCCCCATTCTTTTGATTTGTTTCATCCAATTCTGTTAATTAGTATTTTGTATTTGTCACATAGTTTGGTTGTCTTCACGTATTCGACGTTAATGACATGAATTTTTCTCGATTTTCCATGTATATATACTCAAGGTATTTCGGATATACAAAATCCGAAACCTATGAATTTCAGATTTTGAAATTTGTGAAATCTGTAAAAATTTATAAAATTAAAAAAAAACTTATGAAATTTATACCGAAAAATCTACTTACCTCATCCTTCCTTTAAGATTCTGGATGATTCCTCACTGTATTTCGTCATCATTTTACTTACGTTTCCTTACATTTCCGCTTTATATTATTCTGTGATTTACATACATCCTGTTACGCAACGCTGGTTAAACTTAGGGTACTTTATTCCATCATTTCAGTGTGCCTTACGTCCTTTTGTCGTAATTTAGATTTGTCTTAAATTACGACATCAATTAAATGTTTTTCTTCTTTTTTTGTGAAGTGAATGTATGTTCAGGAAAAGATGGTATCGAAGATGGAAATAGATGAACCAAAAGAGAATGCCAGTGATGAAAAAGAAGAGAGTGGCGATGCAAAAGGAGAGGAGAAAGATGACATGTCAAAATTGGAAGATCCCGACACTGCTATCCTAGAAAGTTAGCATTATATTATATCAGGTATCTAGTCTGACAAGAAAGTTGGAAAAAAGAGGCGCTATACTGAACGCCTGATCAGTCGAGATCAGGGATGTCGGGAAGCATGTTGTATTGAGCGACTTGGCAGATTGTATTCGAAAGCTCAGGTTTTTTCAAAGAAGGAAGTTATGTCATATGTATGAACAGGTAATCTGAGTTAGGAAGGTACCCGTTTTTGTCAATCTTTAGTTGCATAAACAGTAAAATAATGAAGTTTTGTGAATGTCACGATAAAAAAGTCAAGTGGAAAAAGTTTTCGTTGGAGGGGGAGAAGGTTGAAAGGCGTCCACATGTGTTCCTGTGCTTGTCAATACATGGGCATATTTTGAATACTTACGGAGGATGAATCAGGCAAAATAGTTTTATGGTTTTCAAATCTTGTTCTCAAAAAAGGCAAGGCACTGAAACATTCCACGGTTGTTCATAGAAAGAAATTTTAAGGATTATTAGTATTCTCATTGGTATTCTGAAATTCTAAAAGTTACTGTACAATACGTATCGATGTTCGTCAAGAAGTGAATTTTAGATTTACGGGCATGGTGTTCACAATTGGAAAAAGGTGAATTGCATGTGCTCCCACGGATGATTCAACTTTTACACAAAACTCGAAAACAATTGAGTGGGAATGTGCTTAAAAAGCTGATTACTTCACAACTGATGGCGTTACCCCTTATCAGGGACCAACTCATATCTTGGCTTCCGGCTACTCCAAATATTTCTGGTTTTGTCCAGCCGGTATATGCATTCATACATTCAATATATATATGTATGCTTTGTGCAGATTAGATGCTACAAGCTATATCGGTCATGAAGATCGTAGTTAATAACATGTTCCAGATGGAAGTCGATGTAAGCAAAGGTGGGCGTTCACCACGACCTTCCAGACGTTCGGGTGTTCAACCAAGTGTTGCTCCACCAGCGGAAGTAGAGCTTTATATCCATTTGCTTGTCTTACTTCATCTTGTTGATCAGAAGAAACTAGAGGAAGCAGAAAAGGTTTCGTCTTCATGTCTTTTTTCGATATATCTGAAGTTTGTAGTTTTTTCTTTTTTTTTGAATTCTTGAGTGGGATGAAACCAGCTCTGTTTTCCAGTGTGTGGAAACGCTAATTGAGCGGATCGACTATCACGAAAAACGTTCTCTGGATTCCATTGCAGCAAAAGCATTCTTCTACTTGTGTCTCATTTACGAAACAAAAAACAAACTTGATCAATTAAGAGCGTAAGTTTAGTAGCTAGAAAATTCAGATACGTGAACGGCTAGAAAGTGATTAGAATGATCGAGAGATGAGTATCATTTGGGTGCTTAGGATACAGGATTCTTTAAATATGAAAAGAGAAGGAATCACCAAGTCTAGAAGTAAATGTTATTTAAATGTGAGTTCCTATGGCATTTTTTCACCAATCCAATAAATAGTTCGATTTTAGTTATCTAAATGGTCGCCTTCGAACAGCAACGCTTCGTCGACAATATGATTCACAAGCAGTGTTGATTGTCTGTCTTTTGCGTGCCTATTTGCTTGGGAAACATTACGAGGCTGCAGCTATGCTTGTTTCAAAAGTTAGCCGTACATTTCAGTGAACTTTTTTATTCACCTCGGAAGAGTTAATGGAATATGTGATGTTGTTCACATATATAAAGGTGTGTAAGGGAAATAAAGCGATAAAGATTGTCAAGAGAGGACCATACGTTACAAAAAAGTTATGAAATCTTTATGCTAGACTGTGCTAGATTTTCATGTTTTTCTCGGAATTTTGATTTCCGCAAATGGAAGTACTGCTTTTGTTTAAGGTGACATTTCCGGAGGGTGCATCGAATAATGATCTGGCACGTTTTCTTTATTATCAAGGACGAATCAAAGCAATGCAGTTGGATTATACTGCTGCCGCCGGTTATTTTATGCAGGCGATTCGCAAAGCTCCGCAAGATGCTGCTATAGGTTTTAAGCAAAATGTAAAGACACATTTTTTAGCCAAATGAAATAAGTATTAGAAAAGCAGGAAGCATGGACCAAAGAATTTTTTAAATTGCCTAAAATTGTCAAGTCTTTTCAATTTATTTCAGTTCCACTGATTTCTCGTTCCGAAATGTCCAAGGCGTACACGACAATTGCTTGAAACAAACATTTGCAGGTACAAAAATGGATTGTTGTGATTAGTTTACTACAAGGCGAAATTCCAGAACGATCCGTGTTTCGCGTACCAATTCATCGAAAAACATTAGCACCGTATCTCGAACTTACCCAAGGTAGTTTCTTTGTACATGCTTGGCTAGAAGTAATCATAGACTCAAATATGTTTCATGCTTGAAAAAGTTTCTGTTTGAACATATAAAAGTACTTTAATTAATATTCCGGAACTTTGTGCATATTCTTGGGAAAAGTCTTTCATGTTTAAAAAGTTTGGTAAACAGTTTAATTCAAGTAATTATAACTGCAGTTGTGGATTAAATAAATATAGTCCAATAAAATAAATTAAATAAATATAGTGGATTAAATATAGTCCAAATTTCTCATTAAAGTCTTTTAAGTTTATGACTTTATATTTCTTTCAGCTGTTCGTTTGGGTGATTTATTGTTGTTCAACAAAGTGCTGAACAAACATGCAAAGCATGTTTTTGGGCCTGATGAAACTTTGACGTTGATTGTCCGTCTTCGGCAAAACGTCATCAAAACAGCGCTGCGCCAGATTAGTACTGCTTATTCTTGTATATCGATCAATGACATTTGCAAAAAGCTACTTTTGAATACCGAACAAGAAGCGGAATACTTGGTAGCTAAAGTAAGTTTGAAGTATTTTCATGTTTTTAAATGGGCTGTGGTGGTCTATGCCATTGGTGAGGAATTTTACAGGCAATCAAAGATGGTGGTATTGAAGCAGCGATTACATTTGATTCGCAGAATTCATCCGAGAGATACATGCAATCGAAGGAAACGGAAGATGTTTATCGTACCACAGAACCGCAGACGCATTTTGATACTCGTATTCGGTAAGGAACAATTAGTGGTAGATTTAAATATTTGACTTTTTGTAATTGGAAAGTTTTCGAAACCTGCATGCGATTATAAAAAAAAAAGGAAAACTTTTCTGTACATTTGGATTACGACTCGATAGGTCTATTCATAACTCGATCGTTATATCTTTTCAGTTATTGTTTGGAATTGCACAATCAAGCGGTGAAAGCATTACGTTATCCGCCAACAGCTGGTAAAGGTGTGGTTGAATCGATTGAGGAGCAGAGAGAGCGTGAACAGCAGGTGAAATTATTATTATTAATAAACTATATGTATTATGTATTATTAATAAACTGTGCTGCTTGGATATATATAATATATATTGTAAGACGATGAACAATTGAAACTTATCATTTTCAGGAGTTAGAATTTGCGAAAGAAATGGCTGAGGAAGATGATGATGACTTTTGAATAAACGTTTGATAATTGTTATGGATTTCATCCTTAATAAAATAATTTAACTTTGAATGAAATAATCTGAAATATCACGTTCATCAACGTCACTGTTCCCATGAGCTTGTTATCTACTTTTTTTTTCACTTGTAATCATTAATTTCTAATTTCGATAGCCATTAATTTACTTATTCTCTATACACTTTTTTCTCATTTATATCCTTATGATCGGTAATCTTTTATAAAGTTTTATTTTCCAATTTAGCCGGTTTATGCAACGTTTCAAACAATATCTTACGCGATACTATACATGGATTCGATATGACTACGAATTAGAACCAACATTTGCTCTTTGTGGTGATATTTCATTGCGAAATGATGATGCTAGGGGGTTATGGGATGTTCAGGATATCGTTGAGAAGTTCCGATTCGCTTGGGGTGTGCCGAAAATTAGAACTTGTCAAGGTTTATTATTTTCCAGTTTCGGTTCATATTCATCGGTCCTTTTTCATCCAAAAATTTCTAGAATGAAAGTGGGGAAGCGAACTCTGTGTACTTGACAGTTCAGTTTTACCTGCTGATGGAAGACATGAATTATTTATTTGTTCTTTTACAAGACCGTTTTTCATATAGATTAAAGAAGAATATCGACCTGTATTTTATCAATTTATTTTTTTTTTCAGCAAAGAAGACAACTCGTAAATTTGATATACATAGAACGCTAGAACTCAAAACAAAAATGGTAGTGTGTCATATATGCGGTAGTTACCACGATTACGACAAAATATGCGGTAGTATTTTTTTTTTTTTGTTTTGGAAGGAGAAGGAAGTTTTATTGTTATGAGACGTATACTCGAGATTGTTCTTTTCATTTGAGAATTTATCTTTTTAATTAAAGAAAGAAATATCAATGATAAATACTGGTAAGTGCATCTACTAACATTAATTTCTGGTATCAAGCCATCTGATTTTAGCAGGTTATGTCTATGAACTAGAGCGGTGGGACATGGTGGCTAAAAAATGGGGAAGCTCTCATCAAAACAGTGTAATATGTAGAATATTATGTCCGTGAAAGACTTAAAAATCCTAATTTTTCTTTTAATGATGTTAATTTAGTTGGGATGATCTCAAAGCTCTTCGGACCATATAATTTATAAAGTAGTTGTAAATAGTAATTTAGAATTCAAACTGATATTTCAATTGAATTACAGCAATATGTTACAAGAAAGTCCGAGAATTGACTAACTTGATGAAATCCAAAATTATGGCATACAACCCTTACATTGGAGAAAAGCAATCGACGAATGTGAAATTTGAGGATGATCCACGTCCTGAATCGAGTGAAACGCACCAAGATGATGGAGATGCTAAGGCTTCGATCGATCGAACAGATAGAAAACGAATTGTTGAATTAGGAATTCCACGACCAACATGGTTTAAGCCCAAATTTATAGACAGTTCTGTTTGCAGTAAACAATAAAGTCAGACGTAAACATCCGACGAGGATATCTCTATGCTTCCGTTAACAAATAAGTTGTACAATTCTGAAGCTGCACAGAATTTCTTTGCAAAATAAATTTTTAGGACCTTAGTGTTTGAAATTCAAATTAGCGTAAGATTTATTGTCATCATCCCTATTTCTACATATTTCTTATTGCTTTGATTGTAGTTACTGACTCCTTGATCCTCAGTGCACCATATTTTGCAAACTAATTAAGCTGCATCCAGACCAAAATCATATGGCCCAACGATTAATTAGCGATATCTTGCGGAAACTTCTGTAAGCGAACATATCCACATGACGTTCGGTTGCATGTTTACAGGATTACTTCCCTCGTGAAAACTATCATGAGCTATCTATCAAATAGCTTCGTTATGAAGTGTTTCGTTTTCTTAATTTTTCCCATTAGGTCGAAATTTCTATTTCGTTTATGACGGACACCAAAACATGCGCCACTCCGTTTTACTTAGGAAATGAAGTTCGTCAAAATCCAAATCATATGCAAGGTGAAGTATGCAGGAGCCAGTGCACGTGTCAAAAACAGTAATATGATACTGTATATGAAAAGAGGAAAAATCTGTTTTACGTACAACCCTCAATTCATGAAGATAATAAAGACGATAATACTGATATTGTGGAATCATATTACAATGATCAAACGGATATCCCAGTGACAACACTATTCACTGCAATACCAAAAATATCACATGTTTACCAACACCACTGGAAAAAATCAATAAGTTGTGGTCAGAAGATGATTATTTATCAGATAGCTCTTCAAACAATGTGTTAAATTTAGTGAGCCGAGCTAAGGTGGGGACGTCCTTTTTCTGATAAACTTCGCCTTTGGCAGCACTTCTGAAGATCCAAAAGGTTCAATCATTTTTATTTATTAAGTAGCTTCTCTTTACATAGAATTTCGATTGATCTGAAAATAATTACCAGAGAACGAACTGATGCAATAAAGAGCAGAATGTTAGGAGGTGAACCCTGAAGTGAAGGCATTAATTCAAAGTGCAATCAATATGACAATACTGACAAGACCGAGAGGAAGGAAGGGAGACAGGGGAGCAAAGAGAATCATGGAAAACAGAAGAAATCACTTCAGTACCAACTGACGGGTGATGGTTTAAAAAACAGATTCATAGCTTCGCGAAACTGGAAATGAAGGACTGCGACCAAGCCGTTTCTTCGGAAATCTTTCCAGCATCCCTGAGATATCACGAAGCGACGGCCTTTCTTCCGCTGCGTAATTCCAGCACTGGACTAGAATATCCTGGAACGTAGCCTCTTACTTCTCTTGAACATTTAAACAAACCTCATATGTGACTTACTGGAGATTTTTGGCTTTCGGAAATTTTAAATCGTTTTTAAATTCAGCTATTATTACCTTGACTTCCCGAGGACCAGAAATATCACCAACAGGTGCTTTGAAACCACATCCAACTTTCCAAATGACAACATCCGGATGCAGCTCTCGGAATGGAAAACGATACGTCATTAGTTCATACCAGATGGTCCTAAAAACATATTGCAATGTGGATTCTTCACAAGTGAAGGAAGACCAAATTCGCAAATTTTTTCAACAAAAATTACCCAAACGCATAAACGTCACTGTTTTCGGTGAATGGTAACTGGATCAGTTCAGCCGATAATGCTTTGATCAGCTCCGGAGCAACATAACACAACCAATACTGTGGAACAATCAGTATATGATTCCTTAATCATTCCTGATTCATTCCATTTCATTGCAACTTTAATTACATCATTACCCAACTACATTTCAAGTTTCATGCTAGAAATCTCAGTACTCTGGATAAATTTTATGTGTCATTAATTCCTCTCGAGAACCGAAGTTTTACAGTCTTGTCTAACCTCAAGCGCCAAAAAAACATATTTTGTGAGAAAGTTATTCAAAATACCAGTTGAATTGACAAACATTATTGATTTATTCAAGATCGATTTTTCGACGTTAGCTTCTCGCGTAAATTCTTAATAAATAAATAAAACTACCTATGCGGCTGACCAAGTCGCTTCATATTAAAAAGTCCAAAATCTGTCAGGACGATACGATTTCGACTTTCCACAAAAATATTTTTCGTTCGTAGATCTTTATGAATAATCTTTTTTGTATGCAAGTACGATACTCCCTAAATACACTCGTAATTTTGATTAGAGTAAAATTTGAAATTAAGTCAGATATCTCGATTTATATTATCGTTTTTTATTAAGAAAGTCAGTAAGGTAAAAAAAAAAAGAAAGAAAAACGTTGCTATCAGAAAACACAGTATTAGTTATTTGTTTTCAAAATTACTTATTTAACTTCCAATAGTTAAGACGTTTACCTGACATATCTGTGTAGCAAAATGCACGATCTCAGTGAAATTGAATTTTTCGTAATGATCATGAAGTAACTGGTGCAGCGGCCGACCTTTACAATAATGCATAACAATACCTAATTTATGTTGATCAAAAGTGTAGCCCAGAAAGAGTACTATATTGTCATGTCGTGTATTCTTGAATGATGCAACTTCCACCTGCAAGAAATTATGCTTTCAATCAAAAATCTAGAAGTTTGGTAAACCTTATTTTCATTAAAACATTTAGAAACCTAAGAAATTGGATGTTCTAGAAGATCACTAGGTAAAACAGTATACGAAAGCACACATCCCTTAACTTTGTGTTCTAACTTGAATCAAAAAGGTAAATGTTTTTGCCGTCTTCTCGGGAATCCCCATAGTTAGACATAGACTAAACAAAACTTCTAAATCTCCTATTTCTGCAGTTCCTCAAACACTAAAGTGCAATAAAATTGGAGGGTATCGGCTGTAAGTTAGAAAAATTACCTTGAAAGCTTCTAACTGCTTTTCTTCATCCACATGATCCATATTCAGCAATTTTACTGCTACATCACCATACCAGTTTGCTTTGTGCACCTTCAAAAACAACAAATAGTTCGTGACTACCTTCTACACAGTTTTCTTTAGTCAAAATTCGTCTTACTTAAGAGAAAGGGCAGCATACATCCGAGCAAGTATCATAATTATTCCAACAAATGAAGAATGGATCATATTAAAATTTGAGGATGGGAAATTCAAATACATTGTCAATCTTGACATCATATTTCATTTATTATAAAAGAAAAAGCCAGTAATCATCAAATACCTCCCCAAAACGCCCTTTTCCAATCAAACTTTGTTTCTTGAATTCGATTTGACTAAACGGAATAGTAAAATCATTCCAGTTATTTGGTACTCTAATCGTTCCATTACTCCATCTGTCACGATTCAGTGAGCAACCCGAGTAAGGACTTAACTTTGAACCATCCAATTCTTCCTGAAAATTATATCGAATTTTCACTTTATACTGTACATTATCATTTTGAAAAACCGAAGTAGTATAATGAAAAAAGTTAGATCCAACCCGATTATCAAAATTGCCGCCATTGCTTCCCATCGAGTCAATGAATAAAGTACCTTCGGAACCTTCTGAACCACCAAGAACGACGGTGCCACTGGAATTTACGGTACAATCTGAGCCCTGCGATGAAATTAAACATTGCTGTTCACTGAAACACTCAACAGAAACTAATTTAATGCAGAAGAAAATGCATCATAGAATCCTCAGAATTCCACGTTAGCTCTATTTCATTCACCTTGCCGCGAACGTAAAAGTGCATGCTTGGTACAAAATTTGGGTGGAAATTTTGATCCCTGAGACTTAATTAAATTTCACATTCCTCAATTATTGATTTGACAGATGCAAAATGAAGAGTATCACTTGCACAGTTTGAACGAATTTTTGCGCAACTTCTACCTTTTTGGCGAATTGTACTTTTTTTCCACCTAACCATACCCAGAAAGAAAACTTCAAATCTGTTTCAGCAACAAAAAATTACAATTGCTTATAATTTACCTGCCGCCACCTTCTACAACAATATCAGGCACTTCGGGAACTGCTTCCGGAAAATCAAAATTACTTTTGTATGATGAAGGAGGTGCTGATGGCAATAAGAATGGACTGGATGTTGGAAGCGTAGCTACAAAAATTTGGTTTCCTAAAACTTTCGTAAATGTTAAAATAGCGTGAAAAAAAGATACATTCATACTAAAAGAATCATAACATAAATACTACGAAACTGTCCCAGAAGCCAATATAGATTTTCACAACATATCATACAGAGAGACACTGTAGAGATTACCAGAATATATAGTTGGGAAAGCCGGCGTTGAAGGCGCCGAGCTGTTTGCACTCGAAGAACTATCTACGGGATCAAAAGGAAACGCCTGTTGTGACGAAGCACTGTATTCCGATGGTGTCCACCCATCCTACAAAGTTTTCACAAAATGTAGAACTTAGTCTTGAGATTTGTGAAAAGTTGTGCAAAGTTCATAACATCTGATATCTAGCAAAAGCAGAAAACTGTTTCAGGATCCAAAAAGCTCTGACTGAAAAGCAACACATCAGAAAAAATAAAAGAACTCACTATAGAATATTTCCGATCAATACCTGCAATATTTCAGAAGTAAACTCACATTTCCGATGTCTTTCATGAACATTTCTTTCAGTGCCTGTTTGAGATAAGCAGGAGTAAGACCGCATGAATCACCAATTTTCTCTTTACAGTGCGGATGTACCTTCCACCTATACGCATTTTATATTTCATGTTTGTTTTTTTTTTATTTCAAATGACAAATGTTACAAAGTCTGTAGTTATAACCTTGAAAACGACAAAATTCTATATAGTAACATACGGCGAAAAAGAAAAATTTGTTGCAAGGATAAGAAATTTTCTAAAGTGCTGTAATTTCCATCGCAAACTTACTTGCATGATTTACATTTCTCATATTCGCTGAAAAAATTTAACTGTCGTTGACAGAAGTGACAATTTTCTGTGGAAATACGAAAACCTTTTCGCCGATGCCACTGATGGGGAATCGAGTGCTTGGCACGGGCAGTTTTCGGTGTTCGAGGCATTGTATCTGCAAAAAATAATAACTAGATCCTTATATTATGGCCTTAAAGCGGTTCGGAATTCCGAGATCTTCAAATTTTACAACCAAATCAAGAAAAAAAAGAACAACTCACTTGCCATCTGGTTCACATAGTTTAAATGCGATGATGATGGGCTCAAAGTCGCCCCATGATTGACTACCGACAAACAGTCATTGATTGAACGGGAACTAAAAATAACAATAAAATTACCGTGAATATACAGTGATTGAAACCATGGCTGCTTATCTTATATTAATTTGATGATTTGGGGATCCTGATAAATATTAACGTTGCACAATTCAGATTTGGACATGACAAATTGTCGTAAATCACTCAAGATGAAGAAAATTTAATTATTGGTTTTTAGTTGAAAATCATACTACATCTCTTAAATAAAACAACTGTAATATTATTACTGGGCAAATGCAGCATAAGATAACGATAGCCATAATTTAGTGTCTAGTATTTTCCATGGTTTAAAAAAAAGAAATTAATACTACAGTCTTTTACGTTTAGTCCATGAAAGTATGTACGTACCTTGTCAATCCACTGCCTCTACTACTATTAACAGTATATTGAAGATTCGATTCATGAGAATGTGAGCGCATTAGGCCATCCGTCATTAAATATGTTGTCGATAGACGATTAGGAACTGACTTCTTTTCACCAGTACTTCTGTAAACAAACGGATTCATCAAAATTTTCCTTTCTGAAGCAACGAAAACAAATGAGAACCGAGATTTCAAACACTAATTCATAATATTGTGAAAGTATGGAGTAATAACTTGACTGGTAGGTTCGGTACACATGACCAAGTGAAAGCATTATAAAAAAAAAGAAAAAAAACATGACTTCAGTTTTATATCATTCCAAGATATGAAACTAAAGTCGTGATAGATTTCCTATCAGCAATTACGGCGCATAACTACTAATCCCGCTAAAGCATAACTACTAATCGAGCACTGCAATTTTATAGTATTCAAGTTAGAAAAAACCTTGGGAAAACATTAAGCGTATTAGAAAGCGTCGTATTGATTATCGTAACACTTGGGCTTGCTGGTGGTGTAGTTGTTGGAAGTGATGACTGAGATAAATTTGACCCTACTCCTAAAAAACTGAATAATTAAAAGATTCAAAAGAAAACCAAAACATCGATAGTAAACTGGACACTAGAAAAATAGAAACAGAACTGTTAATTCTAACCTGAGCCAGAGTCGCTAGCGCTCGACTCCGCAGTGTTTTCATATGGAAACGACTTGCTATCACTTGAAGCCAAATGATCGAAACTCATCCAACATAAATCTCTGTCACTAAATGCGCGAACTGGTTCATATGCTTCGTCTATAAAAATTAAATATCAGAAATAATTATTTCCAGTGAATTAATCCGCATTCGCTAATACTGGAATTTATTAATGCCTTTAACGTAGCAGCAATAGCCAAAGAATGACGATTTATGCCGTTTTTCATGCACACTCTTCCAAAAGAGTGAATATCAAAGCTCGAAATACAAACGATCATGTTTACGGACAACTATTCTATCATCTTACTGATAAAAACAAATCTTGACAAATAAGAAAACCTGATAATTTCTGGAACTAAGATTAAATTAAAGAATCCGATAAGCATAAAGGGACTACGAAACCACATGCTTTTTTCAAAGATATGGTTTCCTAGAACTCATTTTAAACGTCACGAAAATCCAACAAGTAACCTTTCCATTTTGAAACATAACTTCGCAACGAGTACGATGACTTGCGCAATCTACGACGGCCATCTGATGTAAATCGAAATCTTTCGCAGATATCCAAAAGCTACAATAAATGTAGTGAAGCATTGAATCCAATAGTTTGATTGTCAAATAACTCCACTTCCGCTTCAACATTCGTCAAAATTAAGAATAAAATTAATGAAAATATGGTGAAATGCATCTATCCATTCATTTACTTTACATCAGATAACAATCACAGTCTTCTGATCAATTTCATAAAAAACGGTAAAATAAGATACATGCAAGAATCTCACTCAGTTTTGCAAAATGACGAAATATTAATCTCACAGAAAATATCCCAAAATTGTGAAGATCCATGGGAAACTTGAAACAGATATCACCAGATAGGTAATTTTAATACAAAGTCATTTAACGGTTGACATCATATAAGCCATCTTTGATGTGATTATTTTTCAAAAAATAAATAAGATTGCACAGGAAACGAAGAATTTTCACTACCTGTTTGTCGTTCGTAGTAATTAATACACAAAATGTTTGCAAGCATTCTAGAACAGTAACAATTTCTCTTGGTAATAAATTGACATATGTTAGCCATTCATTTAGAGATGGATATTTCGTACCCCGATAACGTTGATTTAAATAACATACTTGGGAAGCAAGTCGAATTAATTTTGCCTAAAATGGATTATTCGCAAATTTTTGAAACTTGTATGATAGTTAATCATGCAATATGTAGATAATTAAATGAGAGAGACATGAACGTTATAACATCCTTTTGACAAACAAGTATTTTTGACCAAAATGTTTCCTGAATTTCCCATAAATCTATGAAAATCAATAGCAGAATAAATTTCTCATTTCTCGTGTATCCTTTATTAAATGAACACCAAACGTGAAATCAAATCTAGCATTTAGAACTACAACTTCATTCCTTATTGAAGTATTTCTTGTCAATAAACTCCAGCAATTGGTTTATGAGTATATTTCACTAAAACCTCATCAATTTATCAAATGATTTTCATATTTGTAATTTTTGAAAAATTGCTTGGTTAAAAAAAATATATATACATATATATATATATATATATATATATATATATATATATATATATATATATATATATATATATATATATATAT